AACACTGGAGCTACAGCAAACGTAGCTTTGAAACTGGGTCAACTACTCAGCGGTATCGGTGATTTCTAGTTTGTTGTTGCTGCTGTTTAAAAGCATTACAAAATGTAATTGCACAAGACCACCAGATTCAGCCCTATGATTTTTGTAAAGGGATAATATTGTCATTAATGTATCAGCAGAATGTATCAGCAGTCCTGTTTGGTCTTTTATGAAGCCTTATTTTTTTAGGTTATCAAGATCTTTATCATCTTTAGTGAAGTCAGAGCTGAAACATATGAAATCAGACATTAGAGTGGAGAATATATATAAAGCGCCTTGAGGCGACTGCTGTTGTGCTGTTGGTGCTATATAAATAAAATTGAAAAAAGAAAAAGAAAAAACAAAGAAGAGTTTCTCTCCACAGTGAACATTCAGAGTATGTTGGATGTGTGGAAAGCTTCCTCACATTGGTCTCATCTGTAGGGTTTGAACACATAGTTCATTCGTTCTCTTCGTATTCAGAACATTTGATCACACTGCTGGTGTTTCTGCGGTTTCTCTGCAGTGTAATGCTTTCAGTAGCCGCCTGTGACTTTTTCATGGTGCAGATGTAAGTAAAGCTGTACCGTTTTTGAGCAACTTTTTACAGTTTGTCTGCTACCTAATGCACAGTTACCATCCCAGAGAGAGACAGAGAGGAAAAGCTCATCAATGTGGGAGATCTAGAAAGATGTAAGAAGGACAGGACAAGAGTGGAAGACGAGAGTTTATTTTTAAAATGAACTACTCAGTGACATCTGATGAAGTGGATTCTTTTTTTTATTTTTTGTGCAGTATCTTGTAAAATAAATTCTTCCAAGTTTTGGAACAAAGTAAAATAAGAAACTAGTCGGATTTCTTCACTTGCAGAAAAGATCTGCAAGTAAAGAAAAGATTGTTGTTGTTTCTGGTACCAGTTTCAAGTGAGGATGCCTGAGCTTTGACAAAATAGCAATATCTGATACCTCGATTTATAAGGATATTTTTTACATTTGTATCTTTCTTTTTTTTAAGTTTAATCTTATAAATTAATGACTTAAATAATATACAAATGTAAGATTAATAATGAACAGATAGCAGTTATGGTTTGTAACAGTAAATTAATATTTACTAAAAGTCAGAGTCAGTTTTTTAGCATTGGTTATGGGCAGGAGGAGTGAAGGCGCCTTATTGATGGGGCCGCCCAAACTTTAGGATTACCCCTGGTGACAGATTGCCCACAGACGGTGTGAGAGAGTGGGGGAAAGAGCAAACGAAAGCCTAATCTGTTCCACCGACTCATGTCTAACGCAAAGATCTCGACACTAAAGTGTGGGGGAGTAAGAGCAGACGACAGGAAAGACTCTACAGCCACATCTTTACGCTCACACTCTCACTGAGAGAAACTTTGTTTTTGATATTTGCCTTTTACCTGATGATCAGTCAGACACGTTAGAGTCGGTCCTTCCGTCTCTGTTTGAGTGGCAGCGATGGAGGAAGTCCGGAGAAAAAAAACCGGCTGATTTTAAGAAGAAAAGGCCTGAATTATCTCAGTAAAACCCGTGTCCGGTAATATGTAATAAACATGCAATCACACAATGTTTTTATCTCATTTTCTTCACATTAGCATGTACCCATGTGCCAACTACTTTAAGGCTAACGAGAGATCAGGTCACGTGACTGGATTTTGATAATAAGATTAGGACAAAGTATTTTATTTAAACAATGTGTTATCAGTATCATAGTATCACACCAGAAAACACCGTAAAAGCAAACAAACATGATTTATGCTTGGCGTAAGTTACTGACCTCTACACTGCTTCATTTGGATTTTTATTTGAAAATCTGCAAAATAAGAAGTACGAAAAGCTTTAAAATTCATGTTTTGGAGTAAAGATGGGGACGAAATTCCATCCAATGTTTAGAAAGCAGCAGAACATAGAAGTACTTTGATCAAAGTACAAGTACATTAAAAGTGTACTTTAGTAGTAGAGTAAATAAGCTACGTTCCACCTCTAACAGCAAACCTACCTTTGCTGACTTTTTCAGACATACTCAGGATGATCTGTGAGGAAGTCAGATGGTGTTCAGTTCATGAAAATAAGTCAGGAAGTCAGAGGCCCCGATTATGAAGCCTGATAATGGGTTTAATATTTACTGCCCAGAGAATCCCTGCAAACTTCAACAAGACTTCAGAACTAGATATTTCAAGGATCTTTAAAATCTGATCTGGTAGTTTTCATGTGTAAACAGGCTGTTTCAAAATTTCAGCAAAACTAAAAATGGCAGCAAAAACGATAAAAACCTTCACAGTCAGCATCCTGATCCACGGGCAGCTTTTTAAGAAGCCGCCGAAGACCAGCAGACTGCATCATCACTGAAACTCAGGGAGCCAAATAAGAGCGAGCAGCAGATCCTCTGCTTTTACATGAGTCCCAGAAATATCACTGCTCGCTGTCACACGCATTCCTGACTGTCTGCAAAGCTTCATATTTCAGCTTGTCGAATGGGCTGAAACTGCTGTGACAAAAATAAGGAGCAGCCAAAAGATCAGCTGACCCCCCTTCTCTGAATGAATCAGAGGTTTGAGCATGTCACACAGGCAGTGAGTCATTTTCTCATATTCACTGAGTCTCAGAGCCTCCTGTTGATCAGCTTTGGCTGCAGAGATGAAGCTTAAAGAGAAGTGATGTGCTGCAAACAGGAAGCTGAACAGGAAATGGAAAAAAAAAACTCAGATGGTTTCCTGAGTCTGACATTTATAAAGATGCTCGGTTGTACTGCTGCACTTTGAGACGATTTCCTATTAAATAACAAGAAGAAATCGAGAAAATTGTTGTGTGAGAGCAACAAAAGGTGAAAATCAAATCCCAGAAAGGTAAGAAATGACAGTAAAAAGGAGCTCAGTTAAAGGGGAAATAGAGAAATATGAAATGAAGAAAAAGCCAAAGATTGTGTGGTTTCGGTCCATAAGAGGAGAACACGAGACTGAGAATAGCACACAAATAATTCATTTGTTTTGCTTCTAAATAAAGACATTTAAAGGTAAATGTGGTGGTGAGATCTTTAATTTCTAATTATTTGTAGTCAAAGTTCACACTTATTCTCAGCAGTGATATTAAATACACTAACAGCATTTACAGTCTATAGGCCCAGCTTGGTTCCAACCCCCCATCATTTTTCTCTTAAATCGCCCGTTTTCGATTGCAGAAGGATTTCTACAAGTTTGCCTGTAAAAGACTTTTGATTCTTACCAAACGAGGAACGAAGACTCAGACTCGACTGAATCCCTCGTCTGAAAACTGTCTCACTTCTTCCTAAAGGTGGAACAGAAACAGCCTCAAACTCTGAGATGGCTTTTTCCTCGTCTCTCAGCAGCCTCAGAGACTCCAGGCGAGCGTCTGAGTCGATCTTCGTGGTAATGAAAACTCAAACACCTCGCTGTTTGAGGTTTGGTTCAGGTCGCTGCAACTTCCTGTTGTCAGACTCGGTCTTAACGTACAGGAAGCAGAATGAGAAAAAAACACGTGAACAGCAGGCTCAGCTTGTCGTTCTCAGCGGGCTGTTCATCGGAAAGGAACGAGCACAGTGTTCACACGCTGGTGGGTGTTTCTTCAAAGTCTTCAGACGTGGAGGTTTTCACAGCTTCTTTTGAATTTCCCACGAACGCTTCGACCAGAGCTTTAGGACGTACAAATATGCAACACCATCACAAACCTTCATTTCTGTTATTTCTTAGTTTAAAGATGAGCAGGAAGGAAAAGCTGCAGGTTGATCTCCCTCACTTTGTCTCTCAGAGCCACGAATACCTGCTTCCTTCTTTCTCTTTTTCTGTCTCATAAAGAAAGTGGATTTTTCATCAGTTTCATGCAGCAGATTTCCGGTCGCATCACCCCACAAACCCACTGGCACTCTCTCAGTTTCACCCAGAGAGTCACGCAGACACACTTTATTCACATACTCTAATTTAGCTGTAAATACACGTCTCACACATGGTTCATGCTTCATCAGCCAGACATTAAAGTGAAAACCAGGCTGGTTTAAAACTTGGGGCTG